CAGTTTTATTTAGTTCACTGCCTCCTACAGCCATGTGGATTATGACACATGTAGCAATACACATAATGTATACATAAAATACATATAAAGTATATATTAATATATAAATATATATGTATATGAGTTTTATATGTGTGTGTGTGTGTGTATAAAGTGTAGAGGAAGTGCATACAAGTTCACAGTCATACATGACTTTTCAATGTCATGCAACAATGAGGATCCCAGTCAAGGCTGTGAACTCTTCATTATATCATTTAGATGTTGCTTCCATCTAAAGAGTGAAAGATAAGTTACAACAAGGATTTGGAAAGAATGTGGTCTCTTCAAGTATATATCTTCAAAATATATCTTTTGAACTTTAGAACAGGTGTAAATTTACAGAGAAGCTGCAAAGAATGTGCAGAAGGTTCCTATTTAACCCACACCACATTTCCCCCTTTGTTAATATCTTACATTGCTATGGTGCATTTATCACAATGAATGAGTCAATGTTGAAACAGTATGTTTAAAGCTCATTCATTATTTAGATTTTCTTAGTTCTTATCTATCTGCTTCAGGATCCCTTCCACAGTACCAGATTAGTCAATTTCAGTTGTCATATATCATGTACCTTCTCTATTATAATTTCTCAGACTTTCCTTATTTTGGATGATCTTGACCGTTTTGAGGATTTCTGGACTGATATTGGTAGAATATTTCTCAATTTGGGTTTGCCCGGTGTTTTTCTCACGATTAGTTTGGGATTATGGGTTTTGGGGAGGAGGAACACAGAGGCCTTTCTCATCACCTCATATCAAGGGTCCGTGCTATGGATATCACTTAGCACCATCAATCACTTGGTGTGGTGTCTGTTGTGTCTGGGGGGCTCTCCACTGTGAAGTTACTCTCCCCCCCCCCTTTCCATACTGAACTCTCTGGAAAGAAGTCACTGTGTGTAACTGGAACATCAGGGATGGGGACTTACGTTTCACCTCCTTGAGGAAGAGCTTCCCTTGATTTTATCTCCATCAACTTCAGCCAAGAATATTACCTGTGTTGAATCACATTAATATGAAACTCTTGTCCAAGACAGGTAACTGTATTCATATCAGTTGAGCAATTGTCTCCCAATGCATGCTTGCTGTAAATCAGATCCCGGAGTTCCTTTGACTCTAGGAAGTGAAATGGAATTTTATAGCCACATTTTAAAAAGCTTAGAAGAATTTGGTGATAAAACAAAAACACAGCAAAGTCATGAAATATTTCATGGGTAGTATTCTTAACACACTGCATGTAATTACTTACCATCCTATTTGTTATGTAGAGACAAACAAATTGAAGCATCTTACTGTCAGAATGAAATGTAATTTTTAGACTTGTTTTAGAGGGAAAGATTTTGCCACATAAATGGCCATAGTGGTAACATTGGAGTTTAATTCTGTGAATTAGGGCAGCCCGGGTGGTTCAGCGGTTTAGTGCCTGCCTTCGGCCCAGGGCATGATCTCAGAGTCCCGGGATCAAGTCCCATGTAGGGCTCCCTGCATGGAGCCTGCTTCTCTCTCTGCCTGTGTCTCTGCCTCTCTCTCTGTGTGTCTCTCATTAATAAATAAATAAAATATTAAAAAAATAATTCTGGGAATTAAAAAGAGCATGCACCCTCCAGAAAGAAATATTGAAAAACAGAAGCTCTATAAAAGTAAACGTGGGAGTAGATTTGTCTTCCCTCAAGTGAATCACATTCAGCAAGCATTTATCTCATATTAATATAGTAATAACTTTCTTTGGTGTCTTAAGAGTGAAAAAAAATGCTCGATAACAGCTTCACATGAGATGATCCCATAGCACTCTTCAACAGATTTATTAAAACATTGAAATTTTAAGAAATTGGTTATTTTCTAATAACCTGTATTTAAACTCTCTTAGAATATCTAGCCTTCCTTCATGTATTGACCAATGCTTTCTCACAAAATTTGTATTGACAACCAAAAGAAAATAGATTAATATTATGGAGTCAATCTGAAAAAAGGGGTTGATTTTCTTCTATGAATATTTTAAACTATTATATCAATCAAATGGACGTTTATCTATTTTAAAATAAAAATGTAAAGAATATGGAAATCATACTTTATAATTCTTTATTCTTAGACTTTTATTTTTTATATGTTTTTAAAGAATGGATTATTCTTAAATTAACACACTCATATAGTACAAACTTCTAGTTGACAGAAAACATATACTTATGGACAATGTAATACAGTTATACATACGTGAAATGTAATGACTACTATGAAATATATTGGAGATACTGTTGTTAGAGCAATCTAGGAGAATTATTATTTTGCAGTGACATGTACTGATTCACACTCTTAAAGAAAATTAAGTAATAAATGATTTACGGTTTGTGTGGAAAAGTAAATACAATGCAAATATCAAAGTGATGCTGTAAATATCTTACCTGAAAGAAGATTGGAGGTTTTGCAATTTTGTTGGAATGTGTAAAATCCAGTGAGATTTTACTTAAGAAGAAAATTATTTGGTGAGCTTTCTAAAATTAACAAAAACTGTTCAATGATGGTGGCTTCTATTCATTCATAAAACTTTTATCAAGAACTTAATGATTCTGTTCTGCATGCTGGGGCTGCTGATGGATAAAATTTGGGGCCTACCCTCTGAGAATTCTGTGTTATAAATTCCACTTTAAGAATTTATAGTCACTCAATAAATTTTGCTTGTATTTCCACCAAAATAGACTTACTGTATTTTTATTGCATGGATTATAAGAAATCTTTTGAAAAATTTCCGAGCCACTTTGGCAGTGTTATATTGGGACAAAAACCTATTTGCTGGAATAATTTAACAAACATCTAGGCTTTCATTTAAAAAGCAAACACCCATGGCCATAAAACAGCTCATTTTTTTCAAGGAACTTTCTATCAAATTAGGCACATACAAGAGATATTTATCTAAGAGTGCCATCTTCTGGACTCCAAGTCCATGCCACTGATTTGGATTTATTTGATACGCACTATTTATTCCCTCATAAAGCTATAAATGTATTCACATTTTTTGAGTAGTTCCTAGAAATGGCAGTACCTACAGCAATAACTATCATTATAATTTCTAGGTTATAATCAGGAGACATAGTAGAAAGAACATTCACTGTGGAATCTGACAGATCTAAGTTTGATAGAGGTCTGTATCACATGTAGTAAGCTCTGACCTTGATCTAGTTTCTTGAACTTTCTGAGACTCTGCTTTCACACTTGTACTGTGAAGATAAATCCAAGCTTTCAGAGTGGCTGGGAGGATTTAATGTAACAAAGAGCTCTTTGCACATGCGTGACAGAGGCAGACATGCAAAACTCCTAGGTATTTGTATTACACTAATGATAATTGGGCAATGGTTTAGTGTTTTAAAAATGACTTCACCTTCATTATCCAGTTTAATCCTTGCATCAACTTCTAAAATTGAGATATTACCAGTTTGATTATTCAGATAATGAAACCAAGAAGTGCAGTGACTGGGAGATTTCTGACACATTCAGGCTTCGAATTCTTGTCTTCTATCTCTAGACCCTACCCACTCCATAAAGGATTAGGAATCATGAGAATTCATTCTTGCCTTGTTCATGCCAGAATGCCAGAAACTTACCTGCCTGGCTTTGGGCAACATATGTAATTTCTTGAAGTTTTAGCTTCCTCATTCTATATTGAGGGTATTGTAGTAATTCATCTTCTCAATCCTTTCCACTTCTAAACACACACTGAAAGTCAGTATAATGTAGTTGTTAAAAGGACAGTGTTAGAAATGAATTCTTGGGATCCAATCCCGACTCTGCCATTTGCTGGCTCGGTAAGCTTAAGTAAGTTACTACAACTCTCTAAACCTCATTTTACATAATTATGGGTTAATAAATATTTTAAAGAATCATCATTGTGAGGAATGAATAAATGAAACCATGCAAAGTACTTAGAATGGGATCTGGTATAGAGTAAGCATTATGTTAAGTATTTGCTCTGATTTTTATACTAAAATTGTAACATGTAATTCAGTGATTCCAGGTGAGCTATTTTAACCCTTAAAGCCAAGAGTAGATTTGCTCAGACAATTAAAGTGGAAGCTTCCCCATGCTGGATTCATGGCCCCATCACATTGCTGTCCTTGTGTGACAGATTCAACTCAGTAGTTCTGTTCTAAAGAACAGTTGTTAGGGGACATGACCACATATACCTGGGAGCAGTGTTCATCTGTCTAGAAATATATGTATGTGTGTCAATATATTGTCGGCTCTGAATCATCTCCTGGTACATAACTGACCTGATAAATCTGTTTCTCTGAAGTGCTGGAACTAACTGGGTGTCTGGGTCAGTATGATGGCACAGGCCAATGGTTCTAAGTCAGACATTGGCTGAAGCATCGAAAAATATGGAAAAATTTCTTTGCCAAACATTATTTAAACTTTTACATTGCAAGCATTGGGTGCATACAAAGTCATTTTGGTAGAAGCCATTTTGGTAATTAAAAGTGTTAATTCCAAATGCTTTTTAATAAACAAATCCAAGTTTTATTTCAAGAATAAAAATGTTCTTTTTAAAGTTTTCAAAACATATCACGTTCATATTAGATCTCACTAAAAAAAATAGTTCCAATAATTGAACTTCAACACATTGAGACCTATGAGACAATGGAATTGATCTATTGGTAATAGGTAAAGACTAGGCAAATTGCTTAAAAATAAGAAAGGATTATCTCTATTTTGTGAACTCCTAAAACATATTAGAAAAGCATTCTTGCCCAAATAAGTGTTGAGTTAGATCACAAAGTTTACTGAAGTACAAAATTTATTTATAGTTCCCATACTTTTTCGCTTTATGAAAGTTACAAAGATATAGGAACAGCTGACATTTGTTTTGTTTTTTTTTTGTGACATTTTTTTTTGAAACAACTACTAGCACAGTGCAAAAAAAAATGCTTTCATTACATTTTTTTGCTTCTGTATTCACTCTTTCTTTTTTGCTAGGTGGCATGCATGCAGTGGTTTCATGGAGACCATACAATGCTTGAGATGATTGAGAAAAAGCGTTGCTTGTGCAAGGAAATAAAAGCTAGACAGAAAACGGAAAAGGGACTTTGCAAACAGGATAGCATGCCTATCCTGCCCAGCTGGAAGAAGAATGCAGGGGCGAAGAAGTACAGCCCTCCACCCTATTCTAAGCAGCAAACGGTGTTCTGGGACACTGCCATATGACTGTGCACAGGATGGCGTGAGCTCCGCATCACTTTACATGAAGAGGGAGGTCGGCTCAGTCATGCGATAAGTACCTGTTACATATCTTCTCTGTCGGAATGGAATGCCAGTGCTTCCCTTGGAAAACCCATGGGAAGCTGTGCCTACTCATGGCAAGTTCAAGATAAAAATGTATATTAATTGTATCCTTGCAATTAAGACACTGATTTATCCCGGATTATTTTGAATCCAAAAGATATTAAGATGTAAATATTTTACTAGTTTATGGGTGACACCTGAAATAATACACATGAAACGTATATAAATTACAGAAATATCAAGAGTTTTACTATATGATATAATTTCGGTATTAACTGGTTTGTTATCTCTTTTATATGTAATCCCTTGATGCCTTTTATTATTGATTTTTGCATTCAAGATGTTATTTTTTTTTCTGTCCACATTTGGCTTCTGTATGAGAGCTCACAGCTATAAATCATGTTCGATCACATAATATATGATCTGGTGCTAGTAATGTAGAAGTCAAGTATCATATTCGTTAAGAACATCTGTTGCTTTGTAGGTTTTTAAGGGTTTGATGGGAAATGAATGCAAATGTGATGCATAATTTGGACGTCCACATTACATCAATGCCAATATTTTTGCTACATTGGCTTTATAAGAATTTCTCTTCAATATTGTCTTGTTTATACTAAGCAATGGTTAGTCAGACTCCAGAGAAAGTTATTAGGATATATTTGGATATCCCAGCAGAAAACATTTCCTTCAGAAATGACTTTCAGGACTTGTGTCCTTGCATCATGGATCTGATTGGAGGAGACCAGGGTTCACTGTGACAATGGAAGGAACAAGGAATCAAAAGCTAAATAGCACGACTGCTTTCAAGAAAGTGGGACCAGTGGCTTTATAGCCGCTGCCATCACTGAGTTTAAGTAACTTTTCATGTGTATGTTTGTTTCAGAAAATGAGAAATAAACATTCAAACAGATACGTTTACATATTTTAGTACACTAAACGCCAATTTTTTTCTCAAAATTTAGGTCCATTAATGAATTAGTATTTCTTAAGTTTTTCAAACTAGTTATTACCACATTTTTGGGTCGTAATCTTCTGTGCATGACCATCACATCCATTCTTGCTGATTATGACACCATGACCAAAGAATTATGACCACTTGTTTATTTTATTTTGTTTCAAGGAAGAAACAGGAAATGCAGGGGACAGGGGATGGATGGGGTGGATTCGATTTTATGTGGTGGTAAAGTTTAAGTTAAACAAATCCTATATATCTTTTAAGAATAACTTGTTAGTTGCATATAAATATTGCCACGGATGGATAAAAAGGAAACTATCTCATATATTTTGTATATTTAAATTACTATTTATGCTTCCTAAAATTGACAGTATGTGATTTCTTCTTTAACAATCAATTTAGTATTATATTTCTGAGAGAAAAGGTATGTGTTTGAAGTCATTGTCATAGTGGCTTTTCTTCTAAGGGTTTTGACAGCAATAGCACAGTGCTGCTCAATAAAACCAAATATAACAGGAGTGAGGGGATTTTTGTAATCTATATTGCTAAAAACCTAGTGATGCTTTATCAGTAATAATTCCTTTCAAGCCTTTGAAATGTTATAAAATAATTTTTTAATCTTTTATAATCAATGTATATTTTGATGTCCAATTAGAATTCTGAAAGAATAAGGAAAAAGGGTAAGTGGGAGCATGTGTATCTGTTGTTTTTGTGTGAATGAGTACCCAGCAGGAGAACTGTATACATAAAATGCTTACTGAGGTTTTAGGTTCTGCTTATATAACTGAGGTGGTTAAAAAAGAAGAAGAAGAAGAAGAAGAAGCAGGATCACAAGTACAGGAAATCATGGAGAGATCTTAAGTAGCTTGAATAAATCCTACTGCCATGTTTTACTAGAGATTATGTTTCCATCCCAACAATCAATGGAGTACCAATCTAAGAGTGATGAAAATGTGATAAGATAGAATCAGAATGAAAATAAAATGTGCATAGGATCCAGGATAGTAGCCTGTTTTAACTTATTATGACCATCTATACTCGAGCCAGTCTAATCAGGTGTGAGACATCAATTCTCAGCATCTTGAGAATGATCTTGGTGTATGTACATGTATTTTCAAGCTCAGTATGGTAATGATTGGATAATTCCTTTGAGATTTATATTTAGGTCACATATCCAAGTGTGTTTTTCAGATGCCAATCTTTTCCCATATCTCTCTGAATAAAGCAGAAGATATTTTTTAATGCTGGCCACTTGTCAAGAAGGAAACAGAGGTACTGAAATGATTTGTGTTGGATTCAGTCATTCCCATTTGGTCTGCCAAACTCATGTTGTTGCCAGGTTTCATGCACTCTTTTTTTTTTTTTTCCAAGGAAATTATTTTCTGAGAAGGCAGCTTGTTTGAAAATCTGACCTTAGGCAACCATTTCTGTTTAATTTCTCCAAATCTTCCTTTCAATGAGAGGTAATTGAAAGATCCGGAAAAGTGGCTTCCCTAATATTACTCAATAACTTTTATTCGGTGCCTAAACCACTGTCCATTGAGGCTTCGCCCACATGGTGACAGCCATTCTATAATTCACTTTCTCTTTGCATTGTGTTTCTTTATATGGAGAAAAAGAGGTAATTAGGATAGAGAGAAAAATCGGCTTATTCTCTGGTGGCAATCAGGACACTTCAATCTATGAGTTTGGTTGGATGATAAAACGTTCCTTTGACAGCCAGAACACTATGGAAAGATAAAGCTCATATTTTTTAGTAGTGCCAAAGAACAAATGGTATCATGGCATGGTTATCGGGTGGGAAGAGCACATGCCTGTGAGAAATGGTCTTTTCACAACAAATTCTACAGAAATAGAATTTTATTGGCTGTCAGTAAGATGCTTTCATATGGGAAAAACTTCTTAGCACACAAGAGACAAATTTCTTTAGAATCGATGGAAGGGAGATCCTGCAATTCTGTTCAATGCCAGAAGCCAGTCTTGTGAGCTGTCACGGTAGTTCTTCATGTGAACGTTGCTCTCTTTCCCCGTATTCATGCTGTGGAAGCAAGTTTGGAGTGAGTGATCGATTTGTGTAAGTGAAGGTTATTGTCCACCCATACAAAATATTTGGGAGAGTGAAGCAAAACAACACATTAAGAGGTTCACATTTGTAGTTTTAAAGACTATAGACATTCCAATATCCGGAAATTGTCTGGATACAATGAGACACAACTTCCCATTTCAAAATAGTGACAATGGGACTTCAGACATGGAGGTTCCAAATCATTTCCTTGAATGCTTCTAGAGAATAGAGAAACATTTTTCTTATTACACTCTGGCTTAGGCCTCGTCCTCACATATAATTTGATTTGACTCTGAGCAAGTTTAGGAATCAAGTCAATAAAGCTAAACAACCCTTTTGGGTTAGTGTTTTAATTAAGACATCAAAAGAGTGCACATTAACAATCCAATTTTAATATCCTTTATATGTTAAAGTGAGTCACTTCCCTAAAATAGAAAAGAGCTTGTAAATTTATTATGGCTACCTTTGAAATAAAAAAAAAATACCTGTGATTTAAGCAGTAGATAATCTGAGATGAGAAAGTACCCTTTCAAAGGAATAGAAGTATAATAGAATAACAATTCATAATACATTGTGCCCCAAATTTAAATGGAACTAAAGAAAAATGGTACCTATAATATTTAAGATTAACTCACTACATCTTCCCTCAGTGAGAAAATAGATCGCTAATTGTAGAATGTGGACAATTTATTAATTTATGAATAACAGTTCATTGTTGAGAAACTTATCTATTAGTTATTTTTTAAAAATTTGTGAAGCATTGGAATTGAATACTCAAAAAGATATGGTCCCTGCCTTCAAGGAGCTTAGTTATGCAATCTTTAAAGTGTCAAAACAAGGCCAATTATTTCTAAGAAGATTACAATGTCACGTGTTTGACACCTCTTCTGTGTTTATATATGGTATTCTCTCTTTTTTTCCAGGTCAAGTGTACAGTCAAAATAAAATACTAAAACATATTAAAGTTAATGTCTAAGTATAAAATATGTTTATGTATAAGATTCTATATGTACACATAGGATATGTACTGCTGTCTATGTAACTCAGTAAAAGGATAACACGTTTGCCATGTTGGACTTGAACATTGTGACTTGTTGTTTGGATTGATTTAAAACCCTTTGATATTTGGGTCAATCACATTGTAGCAAAATGTGTGTAATCTGAAAAAAAAAGTCTGATTACATTTCCCTTTAAATATCACAGTTTCAAATTTAAGGGGAAACACCTTTACAGAAATATTGTTGGATTTATCTCAAACAAAAATATATGAAGATCTTTTTCAAGTGTTCAGTTGTTCCCAAATATGACTGGGTTTGCCCACCCTAAAAGCATCTACATTTACACGTGTATACACCCACATACAGTATACATACTGTATATAATATATATGAAAATGTTTAGTATGCACTACTTTTGTTTGGAACTCCTTGAGTTAACATTTATAGTGTAGCAATTGGTGTAAAGTGCACTGTGATTATAAAAAACAAAGCACAGTAAAGTCACAGGTCTTGTTATCTTGCACTAAAAATGTGTTTACGTATTTAGCAATTGTACGTTTACTTTCTTGCTCTTTTCAAGAAATTAAAACAAATAGCTATTGAAGAAATGATATAAAATAATATGTTTTTTAGTGGATAATGGCACTACATTTTTAAAAGACAGGGTTTTTAAAAGAAACCATTTAACATCCATTCCAACATAACATGTTTACCGTATCTAAGAATCTGAATGTCATAATACATTTTTCATAACTCATTAAAAATGTCAGGTATGTGCCTGAAAAATTGTGCAAATAAGCATTAGCTAACAGATTTCTCTATTCACGTGTTGTTAGCCCTTTCTATATACATAATAATATAAACACTGATGTTTTAATTTCTCTTAATTTTTGTACTTGATTTTTTTAGGTAACATGTAATT